GAGGCGCCCAGAGACCTTCGCGGAGTCCGCCGCCATGTCGCGGTAGACAGGGGTGCGCAGGGGGCGGGGAGGGGGGTGCACAGGAGGGGTGGAGACGGCATTGGGGCGCTGCAGGGTGCGGAGGCCTGAGCGATCACGACCCCCAGTGACCCCACCTGCACTGTGCGTCCACCTGCACCGCACAGGGGTCAACGCGCAGCTCCGCGACCCCAAACCTCCTGCTCTGGGCGCGGACCCCAACGTCCCTGGAGCCCGCCACAGCTCCGCAGTGAGGAGCAGCTGGCCTGCGGGTGCCCAGCGCGGTAGGGGCGTAGGGGTGCTGCTGGGCCCGCCTCACTCGGCCATGTTAGAGGTGACGCCCGTGCCCCCAGCGGGGAGGCGCCTCGGGTGTCTGGGCAGGAGGGAGCTTTCACCCCCTCAGTGAGGGGGTGAGGGGACCCGCCAGGGCTCCCCAGTCGGAGAGCGGGTCCTGGTAGAGGCAGGGGGGACTAAACACCCCAACATCTTGGGGGTTCTGAGGAGAGAGAAACAGGTAAAAGCGAGGAAGATCAGCAAGAGAGGCGGTCACATCCTGGGGGGCTCCTGGCATGGGGTGGAGCTGAGGAAGAACAGAGACCCCGGCAGGAGGCTCCCCCCCTCCCTCGCACAAGCTCAGGGGCCGTCCCCCACCGCCACAGCTGGTTCTGTCCTTCACATGGTGCCAGAGCTCAGCTGTGCTGCCTGGGGCGCCCAGAGGAGCTGAGGGCCTTTCCCCTGGGGGGAGAAGTCACAGGAGCTGAGCTTCTTCCCTTGAGGCCACTGCACAGCCTCCCAGAGGCCCGGCCTCAGCACGGGCTGCCCCGGCCTGGACGGGACGGTGCACGTGGCCGGCGGGGCCCCCACTTAGTGCCGGGGGTCCGTTTAATTTTCCTGAGGAGAGTCCTCGGCAGGCGAGCTCCGGCTGGGCCTGCTGGCGTGAGGAGGGCCGGAGGGAGTGGACAGTGCGGGCTCTGAGCGGGAGACCTGTGCTCTGGTTAGTGGACACACAGCAGACCAGGCCCAGCCCTGTGTTTCCAAAAACAAACATTTATTTACTTTTCTCACGAATCTGGGAGTTTTAGGGGGGTCATGACTGTTCTCTCAGGCTCACGGGGGGCCCACGGGCAGCAGGAGTGTCCACTTCCAAGATGCCTCACCGGCTCTGCAGAGGGCAGGCCAGCCCCGGGGGGCAGAGACTGGAAGTCCTGTCCAGGGGCTCTTGGCGGCCGGTCCAGGGCAAGCACCCAGGGAGCAGGGCCTGTCCTCCCCAGCTGGGGCCTCGGCTCCCTGTGTATGAGCCTCAGGCGGGGACACAGACCGCGCCTCAGGAGGGGAGCAGGGGGCTGGGGAGACTGAGCCGGGGCGCGGGAGCCTCAGGGGCCGCGCTGGTGGCCGGCGGGGGGCGGGAGGCTGACCCGTTACTTCCAGATCCTCTGCCATAGGCTGGCCAGCAGGCTCCCGACCACTATCACCACGATGCCAAGCACAATGACCAGCCCTCTTTTCTTTATAGCTCTCATTCGCTCTTCATGCTGCCTCGTCAGCTCTGCTTTTTGCCTTTTTAAATCCTGCAATTCATCATCTTCCTCTTCGTCCCACTTCCCGTCCTCCTGCCGCTGTCTGCGCCTTTTCTCTCCCTCCCTGTCGAAGGGGCCAGAGTAGCAGGCCCCCCCGTTGCTCCGCACCAGCTTCTCCACCAGCCCCACGAGCTCCTGCACCTGAGCCTCCTTCTCGGCCTCCCCCGCCTTGTTGTTGAAGGCGCAGTAGCGGTCCCCCGCCTCCCTGATGGTGCTTCTGAGGGTCATCGGTGCTTGTGCTATAAACTCACTCAGGCTGCGGCCCCCCAATTCATCCTTGCCTGTGAACAAGATGACCATGTGCCTCATGACAGACTCCCCGAAGGTGGCCTTGATCAGCGCCACGGTTTGCTCTTCCTCTTCCGTGTGGCGTTCCAGCGACATCACCAAGACGACGGCGTGGGGCCCCGGGGCCGAGAGCAGGACACACTGGCTGACCTCCCTGCAGGTGATGTGCAGGTCCTTCTTGGTGTCAAAGAGCCCGGGGGTGTCGACCACGAGAAGTATCCTCCCCTGCCATTCCCGGGACGCTGCCTGGCACCCTTTGGTCACAGCCTGCGCAGCAAATTTAGACTCAAATACTTCTCTCCCCAGGAGCGTGTTTGCTGTGGCGCTTTTCCCAGCTCCGGTCTTCCCCACCAGCACGATCCTCAGAACATTGTCCTGACTCTGAGCCATGGTCACGGGAGGTTCCAGAGGGCGGGCGGCTTCAGGCCTTAAGGACAGGAAGAGGACAGGTCAGTCCTTGCCACAAAGGATGCCAGGCCCACCTGCTTTCCCAGAAACCCGTTCACACCTTTAGGGGCCTATGGAAAAGTTGTTCAACGTCACTTGTCTCCCATCCAAGTACTAACCAGGCCCGACCCTGCTTAGCTTCCAAGATCAGACGAGATGGGGCGCATTCAGGGTGGTATGGCCATAAACTGTTCAGCTCAAAGCCACATGTAAGAAACTAGCGACAAATGTTGGCGGGATGTGGAGAAAAGGGAGCTCTCCACCCTGCTGGTGGGAGTGCAGACTGGTACAACCACTGTGGAAAACGTGGAGGTTCCTGAATATACTAAAAATGGAGCTGCCATGTGACTCAGCAACTCCACTCCTGGGGACCTACCCAAAGGACTCAAAAACACTAATTCCAAAAGACACCTGTGCCCCTATGTTTATCGCAATGCTACTGACAATAGCTAAGGTAAGGAAACCACCCCAATGGCCCCAAACGGAAGAATGCATCAAGAAGATGTGGTCCATATACACTGTGGGATACTACTCAGCTGTCAAAAATGATAAACTGGCAGCATTTGCAGTAACATGGAAGGAGCCTGAAGGGATTATGCTCTGTGAAATAAGCCAGAGGACAAGAAATATATAAGATGGTTTCACTTACAGGAGGGATGCAGGGGTAACCTATGTCATGATTAAGAACGAAGTTAACAGGCAACTAGAAATCAGACACTCTGCTGGGGAGGGTGCGGCAGCAGGATCAGAACAGGGGAGGGAAGGCACGCGGGCCCCTGGCCAAGGTGCACAGGTGATGGGCGGTGGGGGTTCTATGGGGACGATACCTGAGGGAGAGCTTACGTTGTTCACAAGGGACGAAATGTGTAACGTGCTATAAAATGAAAAAAAAGAAGAGAGTAAAAAATAAGTCTTAGAACTATCTGACCATTTCAATGCCACTTACTCTATTTTCATCACACAGAAAAGGCACATTCCACCCCTCAAGATTTTACCAGGCGATGATGCTGCCATTGGTGATATTGGTAGTATACTATGTCATAAGTATCCTGAGACATTAAGAGTAACAGACCACGAGTAAGGGTGACTCATTTCAGGATGGGAGAAAACTCCTTTTCATACACCATTCATCTTACAATGATTCAAAAGAAATGACCTGCAAGGCTTAGTGCCCACTCAGAGTCATGCTTAAAGCATTATAAATTTGGAATTAATAGATACATCTTTACAATATTACACAAATACAAATTTTAAAAGTTCTGCTTGCATCAAAATAGCTAACTATAGAATTCATTAAGATAGAGATAAGCAAATGTGCCCGGACAATCAAGAAGAGAACACTGAAGCTGTTGCAGCTCTGTCATGGAGGAGTGGGGTACATGAATAGAGACACAGAATAGCAAATGAAAAGACAACCCAATGCAAAATAGACCAGCTGGGTCTTTAATTACACTTAATCCTTCATTTTATGTCACGTTGATATTCACCCAGCATCTCACATCCACGGGAGAATGGGGGGATCAGTCAGCAATATTGGGGTAACTCGAAGTCATGAGAAAGTAAATTTTAAACAGATTCCCGGATGAAGGGTAAACATTTAATTGATGTAAATAAAAGAAGAAATGTGGAAAAATTCTTTGTAATCTGTGTGAGGAAAATATTTTTCCAGCCGCTATCAAGGACAGCTATTATCTTCTACTATGCAAGAATTTTAAAACTATAGGAAGAAAAGACCAACAATAAAAGAGAAAATGAGCCAAGCATTGTGAATAAATAACTGAAAGGAAAAAGAAGCGTTGATGTCCCTTGAAGATATAAAAAGATACTAACATTCACTCAAAAAAAAAAAAAAAAAAACAACCAAATAACCAACATAGCTGAAGAAATCAGCTCAAAATTATACTGTGATTGATGGCCAACAAGCACATGCAAAAATGTTCAACATCACTGGCAGTAAGGGAGATGCGAATTAAAACCACAATGAGATACCACCTCACCCCAGAGAGAATGGCACATCTTAAATCAACCAGCAACAACAAGTGTTGGTGAGGATGTGGAGCAAAAGGAACTCTCCTGCACTGCTGTGGGCATGCAAACTGGTACAACCACTATGGAAAACTGTTTAGAGGTTTCTCAGCTGCTAAAAATGGAGCGTCCATATGACCTAGCAGTCCCATTCCTAGGCATCTACCCAAAAGACACAAAAACACTGATTCAGAAAAGCACCTGCTTCCCCATGTTTACAATAAGAAAGACATGGAATCAACCCAAATGTCCAAAAACAGATGACTGGATTAAGAAGATGTGGTCCATATACACAATGGAATATTACTCAGTGATCAAAAAACATGAACTCATGCCTTTTGCAGCAACATGGATGGAGCTAGAAGGGATCATGCTTAGTGAAACAAGCCAGAAAGTCAAAGAAAAATCTGGGATGGTTTCACTCATAGCGGAGCATAAATGACAGGGTGGGGGGCTGAGGGGGTAATAATGAACAACTGTATGTGTCTAGAGACATTTTACAGGGGTGGAGTGGGGAATGGGATCAAAAATGTGGGGGGAGTACACAGGACTATGGAGATGGCACACGGGTGATTTGGTGATGGGGAGCCCATGGGGGTTATAGCTGAGATGGGAAAAGGCACAAAATGATGTAAAAACAAGCTATTATAATAAAAAAGTTTTAAAAATACTGTGATCGTGTTTGTCACTTATGAGTTCACCAAAGTTTTCAGGTTTCTGGCACAGGTAAAGGTAGGCTGCTGGGGTTGGCGTGGGGAAACAGTTTCTCCTAAGATAATCTGAGAACAGAGCGAGCAGTCTAAGCCACAGAGAAGTCTGTCACGTCTTGCAAAAGTACCTCCGCATTAACCCTGAGCCCATCACCCAGCTTTAAGATTTACCCAAAGCTGAACTGGCAAACATAAGCGAGAATCGTGCAAGTGCTGGGCATTGCCTCGCCGTGTGCAGGCAGAAGACCCGAGCCCATGCCGGCCGGTGGGGAGGTGAGGGGCGCAGGCGAGTCGGGGAAGGGACCCGCTGTGGCCGAGCAGCGCTCAATGCTCTGGGGCGGGGCCCAGGGAGCCTGGAGCCGGAGAGGAGGAGGAAGCCAAGGGAGCCCTAGAGCCGCGGGCGCTCTGTCCTAGCAGGGCGGGGAACAGCGCAGCAGGGGTCCCCGCTCACCCCAGGGATGTCAGTAGTTACCTCATAGAACGGGGCGGGGCGCTGCCGACACCAGTCCTCGCAGATGAAAACACTGGTGATAGGCAGAAGGACGTGAGACCTGTGACAGAACAAGATGAGCCACTGCAGAGCTGCCCTGGAGACCGACGCGCAGGGACTTCACTGTCCACTCAGTCGGGCAGCGCCGGAGGCTCCACCGGAGGAGCTGGGAGACACCTCGGAGCCTCTGGGCCCCTGCGGCTGTGTGTGCGCGCGTGTGCGCCCGTGAGCTGCTGAAAGCCAGACGCTTGCAGGGGCAGCAGCCCCGGGAGCGCCTCGCGGGGCCACAGGCGTCAGTCTCTGACCACTTCGTCCCCACAGTTCGTGGGCAGCTCCAGGGGGCAGGGCAGAGTGAGCGCCTGCCCAGTGACCCCCACTCAGCCTACACGGCCAGCCCCCGAGTCCAGACCAACACAGAGCCCCCGGTCGCCCCAGTCCAGACCCCCACGGAGCCCCGGGCCCCCCACGCCCCGGGCGTCTCGGCCTTAAGGGACAGCGGCAGGGTGCCCTTGGGCGCGATGCCCCGTCCTAAGAAAGTCCCGGACAGAAACGGGGCTGCGTCCCCGCGCCCATGGGAGCCTCAGACTCTGCCAGCGCGGCCGCCTCCCCCAGACGTGTGGGCTGCGGGCGGGCCGCGGTAACCGACCCTGCACAGGCTCCTCCGCGATGTCACTCGCCCTACTCCTGGGGGCTTCGCCCCGCACTGCGCCCCACCGGGAGAGCCCCGGCCAAGGGGAGAGCCCCGGCCGACGCCGGCTGCACCCTGGTGGTCGCTGCAGGCGGAGGGACCCGGTTCCCTGACCGCGTGGTGCGGACCCACGGGCACCCTGGGCGGAGCCGACCACAGCTCCCTCCTGAGCCCCGCGGGTGCCTTCCAGCCCTGCCCCGCGCCCCCCAGGCCGACCCCCTCCGTTATGGCCCCAGCAGCGCCAGCTAACTGTCATCCAGGTTAGAGTGAGAAACCGGGTGTGAGGGGCAGTGCTGGCACAGCGCCAGTCACCCTGCTCCAGGGGCTGGCACGGGCCCAGTGGGTGACCCCGCATCCGCCTGCCCCGCCCCCCCCCCAGGTGAGTGAGTCCAGACGTCAGTGACCTCAAATAAGAGACAGAGCAGGGCAGAGGCAAATCTGCTCCCCGGAAGGTGAGCTGAGGCAGCCGGGGCTGGGGTCGGGGTCTCACTGCTGTTCCCCAGGGGCTGGTCAGCCCCAACACACCCTCCTCACCCCACCGCATCACACTCAAGGCCCAGCTCTCTTGGCTGACGGACCAGCAGCCAGGATTCCCCGGCCCCCTGTAACTACCAAAGTCTTGATTTCTCAGGCAGGACAAAGATGTCATAATTTACAAAGTGCTCTAACACATGGAAAGGTAATTACAGGTGTCTGGTGGCCCACAGCGGCAAAGTGGGGTGAGCACTGGCCTCTGACAGCACCCCGGCTGCCCCTCCCCGGTCTCCCAGGCCAGTCGTGTGTCTCCTAGAAACCCGACTGCGGCTGACGCCCTGACCGTCCGGGCCTGCAGAGGGGCCACGGGAGAGCCTCCCTGAGGGCAGGAGCCGGGGTTCAGGAGCTGCCCAGGGGCTGGGCCCGGACCCGGAGACCCCGCAGCCGGCCCAGACTCCGCCCTGCTCCCTGTCCCAGAGCGCGGAGAGGGAGCCTGACCGCTGGCCCTGTGCGCCGAGGAGCCCTGAGGCCCCAACCGCCGGGGCTGCGGCAGAGGAGGACGTGACCCGCACCCCACTGGGCCCCCAGAATTCTCATGGGCGGTAGCAGAGGGAGCTCGTCGTCACGGCCCCCCAGTGGGTGGGCCACGCCCAGAGCCCGTGGTGGGGCTGGGGGCCCCACACCAGGAGAGCGGCTCACCTGCTCTGGGAGGGGCCGGCTTCAAGCCGCTCAGCAAAGGCCGGTCAGCAGGTTCCGGCCTTTTCTGGAGAGACCCCCCCTGGGCCTGTGGGATTGTTGTGGAGGCCCCCCTGGGGGCAGCAGGGGGGAGGGGGGAGGGGAGTAGGCGGAGACTACCAGGGTGAGAGGCCTCCCAGGCTGCGGCTCAGGGGCTGGGAGGACTGCACCGGCCTGAGGGGGGCCCCGAAGGCAGGAGGCTGCAGTGTCAGTGCCAGAGTCTGACCAGGGAGTGGGGTCAGGCCATTGCTCCTACCCTGAGAGTGGACATTCCTATATTTTGCTCAAACACAGATGCCAAGCAGACCCAGGTAGACAACTGCACTTCAGTCTGCAAATCTGAAATGGAGGTGCCAGGACGGGCCTCCCACTTTTGGACAAGCAGCTGCCAAGAGGGGGAGCTTGGTAGTGCTCCTGGGGCCGTCACCCCACGGTCAGGACGCAGGGTGCATCGGGGAGGGGCGTCCAGGGCGAGACGCCCCAGACCATGGCACCCCGGCAGGGGTCCTTCATCAGAGCTTGGGCTGCGGACCCCCCAGACAGC